TAATCATTTTTTGCAGACGGTAGGAACTCGAATTGTTGAAAGGAATATGAAGAAATGCGAAGAAGGTTGGCGTATATTTTTTATTTTTAGCGAATGAAAATCTGGCAATTGGTGCTGTCACATACATTTAAAAGAAGACTTCTGTTGCCTGTCTTCTTGGAATACTTCTCTGCTCAATCATTAAAATCACTGATTATAGAGACAGCTCACCATAGTTTGCACCCTCTTCAATGGTCAAAAAACCTCATCAATCACACAACATCTCCCTGAACTGAATTTATTTCGGTGAAGCAATTTTCACTTCAGTATTGACCGGAATCATTGCTACTGCTACTATAATAATCAACCACACCATGCTTTGGCAAAAATGTTCAAAATTAGAAGACTGAAGTCTAATGTCTTTATTTCTGATGACCATCGTTCATGATGTTTTAATTGAGATTATCATATTATTACATCAATTGCAAAAAATCTTTCGAAACTTTTCTTGTTAAACTGTAAGTGCAATCGAAAAGACAATCCATTTAAATTCGAGATAATGTTATCGTCATTTTAGGATAATGCTTTTGCAAAAAAATTAAGGAATTTCAAATCCTCCTAATTGATTTATCATTGAACAAATTAAAATCTCATGTAAAATATGGATTTGAATTTAAGGTAAAATGTAAAATTAATACCACATACGCAAATTAAAAAAAAGAAACCTACAAGTCATTAATTATCCTAACTTTCCTTGTTCTTCGCAAGTTCCGACTTGAATGAAACAAACAACACTAATAATTTGGATCCGAGAAACAATACAAACATTAGAATATTATAATAGTTGGCACTCAATCACTCAGCGTTTAATGATAATGTTTTTTGAAGGACCAGTCAGCGACCTGTGCGCATAAAAAACAATCGCAAGCGAATTCGCAACATTTACGCTATTCGTTAAATTTCGCAACAGCTAAGTCAGTAAAGTTCGAAGAAAAGCTCTATTAATGTTTATATGGTTTAATCTCCAGCATCATTAGACAAAAGTAGGCAGAACGATGCTTTTTTTTGCATATTTATCGTATTAGGGAGTTTGACAAATTCAAAAAAAACGACTCAGAGATGATTTCTTGACGACACCCTGTTAAAGCATAATTTGAAAAAATAGTTTTTAAACTAATTTATTTGAATCAGATGGTATTTCGCCTTCTTCCCAAGTCAACAGTAAAGAAAAGTATTACGGTAAAAGATACAAGGCAAGCAACTTCTCCATCTTCCCATAAAAAGTCGTAACAACAAGTTGGTACCGCTGAAAATATCATTCTTAGGAGACAGAAGCATACAATGCTCACTGGTAGAGTGAACCGTTCCGATATTTATTTATTTATTGAACTCTCAACTCTGGCATTTTCCGTACTTAACAAAACAGGCTTTCTTAGGAAAAGCAATGTGGAAGGATTGCTTCACAGAGGAGAGACGGATAATATGACGGTCTAAGATCGGACAATACGAGAAAGAGATCTGAGAGTGGAACTAAGGCCAATATACAAACCTATCACTTCCAGCACAAGATAAAAGCATTACTAATACTTGTAAATGATTTGGTCATGTATGAGAAGGAAAAGTGATATTCTCGTAGAGTGCAAAAATTTCAGCTATTGAGTTTTATTTTATTGGTAACAAACTCCAAAGCTGTCTGTACCAATATGTTTAACAAAAGATGGGGCGCTTATCGCCATCTTGCTCATCTTTTTTCTCCCTTGTCTTACTCTTAGGAAAAAAATATGGTGGATGGTTGTTTAAACTATCAGTAGGCCAAAGGTTCCAGGAAAAAAAATCCAAAGTTTTTTCTAATTAGGCTGATAAAAGTCGAGAAAAAACTAACGTTGTATTATATTCAGCGTAAACAATATCGTAATCACCAGCCGGTTCAATAAATAGATCATCATACGGTTTTGGTACCATATCCAATTCAGATTTCTTTTCTCCTGCCACTCCGGTTTCTTTTTGCTGACGTTTTTTTCCAGATTTCAAATCATTTGATTTTCGCACTGATTCTGATAAAAAAAAAATTTTAGAAAAAAACTAACAAACAACCATAGGAACTATTTACCATCATGAACTCTTGAGTTAATTCGGTAACTTTCGACCTCGAAAAATAAGTAGTGAACATAAACACAACATAACAAAGACGTTCTGCTGAGATTTTAAGCTTCTTTATTACCCACAGGAAATGATTCCGTAAAAGCAGAGCTAACAAGCATCATTTCTAAAATCATTCCTATTGCCATTTTCTCCATAATCAAACATCTTAGTTTACGATATTTCATTTATGATATATATTCTAAGACATATATTTCATCATTTTATAAATTATATCAGTTATTCTCCAGCAGACAGCAAGCATATAAAAGAAAAATGAACAAAAGGTTGGGTTAAGTTTTGAGCGCTAACTGATATAGTTTGGAATTATACAATGTCTGTTCAAATACTTGAAAAAATAAATAAATATTAGAGCAAAATCGCTGCTTTTAAATGGATCAAATTTTCCATTATTGGCGCATTCATTAGCTATTGCCTCATCCATCACTATGAGGACAGGAAAAGACAACCAAAGAGAGCCTGGACAAAACAGCACAGTGAACGGACGTGTAAAAATAATGCTTAATATCATTTCAAAATAAAGTTAAAAGATGGCTGATACAAGTTGACCGAATCTAAAAGGCACCTTAACATCTAATTAATATATCGGTGAAATTTGTTTAAAGTAAGAAAAAAATTAGTTTAGGAAATAACGAGATCAGGAATTGAGTCCATAAAAAATTTTGAATAGTAGGATACATGAAATGAGAAGTACGGTAAATTGCTGCTGTCAAATTTGGGGAAGCAAATGAAATGCGCTTATTTCAAAAGACCGAAGGGACAAGTCAACCAAACGATGGTGATGCTTAGTAGAACGAACTATGTCTCTTTTGTCCCTTTTCTGGAAATAGGTCTTCTCATAATTAGATAAAAGCCAAGCACATCACTGCCGCAGGAAAATGAGAAGGAACACTTCAGCAAAGCAACTAATTCATAACAAATCCATTAAATGAACCAAGCATTTTAATATGCAAGAGGACTTCACAGAATAGCATTTTAGCTTTCTTCCATAAAACTTAAATGCTTTTTATTAATTTAGTATGCTTTGGAATTTTTCGATATTACAAATCAGTCATAAGAAGAATGTTTACGGAAGAAATGTCACCAAATTCCTTGAGTTCTCTCTTAATTAACTCTTAATTTAATGACGTTCATGGTAAGGAAACGATCAAGATTTTCAAGATAAAATCTAAAATCATCTTAATAAGCCACACTGTCCATGACATTTAATAATGTTTAATACCAGAAAATGCTGTGAATATAAATGGTTTATGACCAATGAAGTGTGCCAAATGCATGAACGCAATTAATGTACCTCGATTAGAGGTGAACAGAAAGCTTTTAAACACCGGAATCAGTCTCACCCTTTGGGGCAACACCACTGTCAACCTCCATTGTTGTCATTTCCCGTGTGACTCTCATTTACCAATCCTTTTTGCTCATTTCTCAGATATTCCCTATACCATTTTCTAGACAAATTTATCCATACCAATATCTCACCAAATTGTTCCACATTTCATTAAAAAAAAGTTCAGTACTATCAGTCTTTGCAATGTTAGCACAATGTTAGCTTCTGAATTTATATAGATTCCATCTTCTTAGCAAACACTATTGCATAGCAAAACGCAAAAGGTCAGATGATTATCCAACGGTTCAGTCTTACATAGAAATTTCTAACGTGCAATTAAGTATTGTTTGTGACTACTATAAAGTAATGATAATGTTTATTTTGGTATCAATACATCATCATTTATCATTATTCAATCAATAGCATTGATCATTTCTTGTCCCACGACATTTTTGTTTTAAATGATATAAATTTTGAAACTATGTTTCAGAAGAGCAGTAATGATAGCAGCAGTAGCAGCAACGGTATGCGCAGCAGAACCGATCAGAAACGCGACAAGCCGATGCTTCCGTATGTCATCTGTTATTGATGAGCTGTTGTCTAACCTCCTACAGCAGCTATCCATCATTCCAAACAGTGATTACACATTTTAATAAATTGAGGAGATCGCTAGCGGTAATGACTACCAATGGTTGCAATCACTTCTCGAAGACCGCCATTTCTATTCTTAGTTAATTTGCAGTCTTCACCTTTAGAATTTAAAATGCTTTCAACATTGATGTTAGATATCGAAAATTCTTGCCAATTTGTTCAATATGACCAAAAAGAAAATTTTCAAAAAAAAACCTACAAATCTAAAGCTGTAAAAAGTTTGCCAATTCAAAAACTTTTTTACAAATCAATTTCTGTCATTTCATGGAAGTTAATGAATATGAGTAAGGAAAACTAATTGATTTTGGCTGCATCCGAAAAAATGTGCATAATTTGATGAAAGCTGTAATAGGGACAGTGCACAGTGAGACTTCAGCCAAGAAGCTCTATTTATTGCTAGGATAAAGGAAGATAAACACCAGTGAGTGATGAACTAGCATGTAATATGCTGAAGGCGACAGTCAATCTCATCATCATCGATTCTTATCGTGAAAGTGAGGGAATGAAAAGACAGGATAGGAAAAGAAAGGACAGGAATTGACAGGAGAAAACGCGATATAAGCCAAGTCTAGTTTTTCTAGCTAATCAACAATGGACAAAGACAACAATGAAGTGCTCCTTTGCATTTACTCTCTCCAATGAAAGAATGTTTCTAGGAAACTAAATGATATGTTTTTAAGTATTTCTATGAAGATCATCCTAAATTTCATTTGGAAAAAAAAAGATGGCAAACTTTAAAGCACTTGAGATAACTAGGCGTGTTTCTAACTCGATTTAGAATTGAAATGTCTTCTAATGAAACTGCAGTAAACTCCTAAATAGTGAATGGCTGTCACACCTGGAAATAGATGAGTGAAATTCAATAAAAAGCTTTCTGCGATATGGATGAAAAGTCAAAGTCCCTAGTTGTCTTAATCATCGTGAAAAGTATTCAAGTTACCATTGTTCAGGTTCCACAAAATTATTCCAGTCTACCCTACCTCCCTTCCATCTACTCCCTTCCTTCATTTTGCTTCAAAATTCCCAGTTACATCAAGAGCATTTTAATTTGTCTCGAGACCACAATACTGATTGAAGTTCAGAGATTCATTTTAATTCAAATTGTATTGTAAGACGATAACTTGATGGAGTTGCAGGATTTTTCACCTTCAAAATTCTCCAACTACTTTCAAATTTTTTCCGCATTCTGGATGTGATATACAAGCAGAATGTCTTCTCTTCCAATTAGAAATTCAGGTTTGAGCAGCTTATATGGTACTTGCAGAGGTCACGAGCACTTATTGGGAAAAAAGATAAGACCATCTGTCTGGAAATACGTAATTAAGCACATTTAAGAGACAAAATGAAATTTTCTACATCTGTCATATTAAGAATAATAAGAAAAAGAATTTTGGAAGAAATTTGTTTCAATTGAGAGTTGATGAACTGATGTTAGGTGAAGTGAGAAAGAGACAACGACATTTGATTTAAAGGTGACACATCTGCTATTCGAAATGTATTGTTGAAGAACCGTCTTAACTTAACCAGCCTCGGCATTAAAAGGAATAAATTGAAGGTATTGTTGTCCCTACCAAAGAACTATCTATGAAGATATCCTATCTTTGATCAATGTAAAAACACATAGTCCCAATAATAATGAGGATTTTAAATTAAGTGTAGGCAATATCTGATAACAGAACCGAACAGAGGGAAACCTGAGAGATGAAACGGATCGTTTCTATCCGAACAAATTTGATTTGTACTGTCAAAGATATTATTTCAGGAGAGGATGACACAAATAAGTTTCCTTCTATAATTAACAGCAAAAATAATGCATGCCTCAGCACGTTTAATTGAGCATGGTTTTATTGAAGGTCATCATAGTTTTCTGCTCTCCACTATCATCGGAATTCATCTTAATACCTTCAACATTCTCAACACAAAAATACAGTATCAGTATATCATATTCGAGTGAATTGTAAGTCTTATTACAGTATGGCTCTCTATACAAAGGTCAATATCATAAGTCAAAAAGGTTAGCTAACAGAGATAAAAAATAATAGATGATAGAAATAAACGGAAGAACCGCACTGAACAACAGAATGTGTAGTACGGTTAATCGATAAAACGGAAAGGATTCTTCCTATCATCAAAGTCCGTTTTAAGCAAGTGGACATTATGAATTGAAAGCTTGAAAAAAGTACAATGTGCTAGCTATGTGGAAAAGAGTGAATTCATTTGTGAAATCAATCGCAAAACTATTAATAATTTGAATTTATTTCGCAGTATCTTTCTAACAGAATATTTATTCATTTTCATTCCTTGTGGAATAGAAAGTTTTAAAGTATTTAGGAAAGGTTCTATCAACGAACTAAGTACCTCATACTACATCATTGTTTACCAAAAAAAAAAACAATAGTCGATGTCTTAAACAGATGCATATACTAGAAGATACATATCAAGCAAACTAAGATACAACAAAAGGTCAATACGATATGCTGTATTGGTAGAAGTTAAGAGTTTACGCATCAACCAGGAGATCTATTTCCAGTTACAATAAATTAAAACAAAAAAAAAAATGAAATTTATTGAACCGCTTTACCTGAAACTAACAAAATACCAATACAGAAAGACCTTTTCCAGAAACTATCTTGAATTGAAAAACTTAAGCAGCATCATTCAATCGGTTTTTTTAAAGACAGAAGAAAAATTGTTGATTATCATTTAAGGAAAGATAATGAATAATACAGATGGAAATTTGGGTTTAGAAGATACAATGCCCTCACTTTTCGTAAATTATCCAAAATACGAAAGTTTGATCACAATGTATCCAGTGCAGAATTTTGAAATAAGGATGTGCTAGTTTCATTACTGCAAACTGATATCTGATAATGCTTTGTTCCAATTCAGAGAAGTACAATTGGAAAAAGGAAAAAAGAAGCAATGTTTTATGCGTGCAAGCAAAACACTCGATGCTACTGATGATATGATAAGATAGTGAAATTTGAGTTACAGGAGAATGATATAAATAAATTACGACGAAAAAAGACAACTTGGCCAAAGATTGTACTGCACCAGGGCTATCATCTTAGTTTTCATACACAGACACATGCATACACATACACACACACACACACACATACACACACACACGCACACACACAACGCATACACAACGTTGTGAGACATGCAATTACTCGTCATTCACATTGAGGTCGCAAATGAGGAGTTGGGGACATGTTAGAAACAAAATGAATTAATAAATTTACATAAAAGATATTTTTTTGAAAAAGTTAACCAACCATTTCAAAAAATAGAAGGAAGGGATAAAAAGCAACATGAAAATGAAGAAGTGATGGACAGACTCCATAGTTCTAGCTCTTAATGAGATAGATATATTGCTAACAGTGAGAGAGACAAAATCTAATTAAAAAATCCTGCAAAAATGCTTCATATCTTTTCCATCTTTTTTTTCTCTGCAGAAAAAGTAAATCAGAAGAAAAAGGAACTATGCACAGAATGGATTGAGATGGAAAATGCATGTCACACAAGTGTAAATGACTTCTAAGATGAGGTTGGGAAAAGAAAGCCTAAAGGATTAATTATTCCGCATTGAGTGGAACTTGCATTAAACAAACATTTCTTCAGACAAGGAACCCATAGCTTGCATCCAATCATTCCATAAACTGATATCCTGGGTTTCTAAACAAAGAATTTCTCTAATAGTTGTTGCAAGTAGCCATCAGTAAACACATGAACAGCTTTCCGAGAAGCCTGTAATGTAGAAGATTGAACGGGATAGACGAAAATACTTAGAGTCCATTTAGGTTAAGACATTATAAATAGGGTGAAGATAACTCTCGGAAATGATGCAAATGCAGACTATTTTTGAAATTTTATTTTTAAAATCCTTAAAAAAAATTGGAATGAAAGGTTATGTGATAATGCGACCACATGGAGGAAGTTAACGACACTAGCACAATTGCTTTGACATCTTTCGTCACATTATTTCTTCACCAAACTGACAACCTCCATCCTACTTTACCTGAACAGCCGGAGAAATGAATTGCCATATCATTTGTTTACCACTTCTGCTCCAGTACAATGAAAATTTTTTAAAAAAAAGCAAAGGAAAAAACACTTGGGAATTTTTCTCTTCAATTTATCCCATTAATAACTCAATCAAAATGAGAAATTAAAGTTTCACGATCGTCTTATTAGGTCACCTAACCTTCAAGTATTTTATATATAAAGTGACTTAAAACTAAAATGACATCGTCAAGAGTTTGACTGCAATATCAGGACATTGTTTAGAGAATGAACTTTCAAGAAACTTCTGTGAATTCTGTTCTTACATACAGATATGGTGATCGATGGATGTATCAGAAATGACTGTGATCGTTATCTGACAACAAAAGTACCAACCAGATCGATTTCCTCAATATACTGGAAGGAGAGATATTATTAGAATAGAAGGATAATGCTCAAACTCAGTTCCATATTAATTAATTATAAATATTTGACGTGAAGTCAGTCCATCGATGCCAGAATATGAAAAGATAAGAAAAATGTATATCATTCATTTATCGCAAAGGAACAAATGTCAAAACCCATTAAAGTGAAAAGGAGCGACAGAATTTCACTGAACTGAAGAATTCAGGGGAAAGAAAAACAATGAATATTGCACCCTATTCGATCTTTTATCGCATTGAGGATTCAATCACCGAATATAATAATATGTGATGGAAATAAAAATTTATCACAGTCATACGTATCATAAAATATGAGAAGTTTCTAAAAGATTTTCAGATTTAAAAGGAGAGGAAAATTCGTTGTGAAAAGAAAAATCTTGTTTATCATTACGAAATAAAAGATAATTTAACAGATAAATGAGTGACTTCCACCATTTCAAATTAGCAACTTGAACTAAACTTTATATGGCATCATGTATTACACAATACTAGACGTAAATTATCCCTAAAAGCATGCACCTGTGCTACTGCCGTTCACAAGAATAATGCATGTATGTTTTCATAATGCAGGTGCAGTACGCCTCCTTAATATCGAGATGATGCAGAAGTGAGAAAAGCTATACGTATTAACCTAACAGCAATAAAAACCCGTCTTAATTCTTACAGTTAAGATTAGCTAAGCTATTCGAACTTCGGCAAATAAAATTACAAGTGAGGTAGTTGTGCCATAATGATATACTCCAATACGAGGACAGCCAAAGATGTTGCTAAATATTCGTCAGTGAAGAAAAGTTAGAGAGGAATGTTATTCAGCTTTTCAGAAAAGAATGTATCCAATTACCTTTCACGAATATTATCTCCAAGTCAGCCAACCCTTGACAGTTGCCGATTGACCGCCCGGAATGCAGCAAACAGATATACAAATATAATTAACAGAAGCAAATGGATAGGTTAGAAATTTACTTGCTTATTTTTCATTGCATACTCTAAAAGAATGTGTCGTTTAGCTCAAGTTACTAGAAGGTAACCTTCTGCATCTTTCCGTTCTTTATTTCGATTAGGATCAAATTTCTTATATTGTAAGTTTCATCAGTGCTTGAAATTTGAAAATTTCAGATGAGAAGTGATCGAAGTTTTGAATCATTAAACTCTTGCTAGAGGTAACAAGGAGAGAGAAAGAGAGGAAGAAAGAAGAGGACGTTCAAAGTTGTATATCAACAAAAAATGAAAAAATTCCAACATTTGACATTCACAACTTTCGTACCGATCTCTGTTACAGGCAAATGAAAATAACGGAAGTGTCTAAGCTAAAGAGAGGTATCACATTTCAAGCAAGTTAATGCCAATCATATCAAACGTGTAAGAAAAATGATAGCCGCTGTTGATGTATATTAAAATGTGGATGACACGTGCAATTCAAACTAAAAACTAAAATTACACCTGCACCTTTTGTTCCAAAACTTTTATACCATCTTTCTCTCATATTCATCTTAATAAAAATAGTTTTAATACTGTTAGAATTATTGATTGCTACAGTATGTTCCGGAATAATCTAAGCATTAACGAGAAAATTTGCACGGGACATCATAAACTTATTTCTTCTTTTTATGAAATACCAACAAGTATGCAAGTTGTCGTCATATACATTTAGTAGTATATTCTCTCAATAACTTTCAAATTCCAGTTTCTCGAGTCGAAAAACTGCAATTTATTATAAACTCTTACCCGGGACAACATTCGGCTTATTTGAGCCAACCTACGAAAATTATTAACTTCATCAATCTTATTCACTTATAGTTAGGAAGCAAAATAAAACGGCTAGTATTTAAATAACTGGTATCGTGAAACCGCTTACATAAGTTAATACTTCGTTAATAGAATATCAACAATATTCTAGAAACACTGGATGAATCCCCGGATAATTTCGATATTCTAGAGTGAAAGATTTTGCTGCTTTCAGAAATTCGTCATATAGTGAAGAAGGTAAGAAAAAACATAGAAAATAAAAGAAACTGTTAAAAATAGATTAAAAATTGCTTCGTGACGAGAATATGGAAAATATCTTCCAGGAGAACTTAAAAATTACTTCGTGACGAGAATATGGAAAATATCTTCCAGGAGAACTTTCCAGTATTAAAATGAAAAGCATAGACAGTATTTCACTGATGAAAAGTTTGTTGGACGTAAAGAAATTTAGAGAAAAAAGTTTGTTGAAGAGGAGAGAAATTTCTAGTAGAGCTGATTTCTAGGTCTCGTAGAAAATTTCTCTACCTGGAAAATCAAATCACCAGAAGAGATTCAAGGAATGCTTAAGGATCTTATTTATGGAGAAATTTTTCTACTTCTTCACATCACTTCTTTTCGGTGCAACTTTTTAGAAATAAAATGAAATGGTTTTCAAAACTCCATGTTGAAGTATACTTCAACATGCGAACAAGCAGGACGACAGGTTTTGTAAAGCAATAATTTGAAATTTCACAAGTTGTCAATAGTTATGGAAAAAGTGATACAAAACAGGAAATCTTGAAACCGGAATGTGATTTAATAAAAGTGATTTGAGGCATTCCGAAAACTTCAAAATAAACTCTTTGTTGCGCACTGAAAGCAATATTTGGCCAAGATATTGTTCAAAAAGCGTGAATTTCCGAAATGGGAAAAACTGAAGGAGTTTCAAAAGCAGAAAGTATGAAATCTTTAGTGCTCAATGTACATACGAATATGAAAACGTGATATTCAATTAGTCACAAATAAACTTGAGTATCATCTAAAATTGTATGTCTATACGTTTACAGAAGGGATGGATTACGATAACTTGCTTTTTTGAATGGTTTATGAACAAATAAGTTTTCAGTTTATTGGTAATATTTATGATTTATGTAAGTAAGTTATGATGTTCACGACTCGATATCTGATTAAAATCTTGCTAAGTCTGTAGTATCCACAAATCTACAAATAGAATCCTTTCCTTACAAATCTTTACGAAAAGTCTTTCGTAAGGATGTTTAAAATCATTATCTCATCCTCATAAAACTATTGTTTAAAACACTTACTATCAGTGATGAAGTTATTTCAAGGAAAATTTCTTGCGAATTATTTATCTTCCACTGCTCTAGGAAAGAAAGGTCTACCTGACATTACCTTAAGCTCACCAGTAAACATTCTTTTAAAAGATGTCACTTCTTATCGAGTCCTGTTTAGACCTTTCTTGTAATCCACACAAATAAAAGGTTCAGTGGTTGTATTTACACAGTCTATGTGCGTACACAATACTTATGAGTGTACCTTTTCTTCCTTATGTTGCCCACTTCCTCAAATAAGTGTGAAATGTACCTATTCACCCAGCCCATTATTATTATTATTATTACTGTTTACTGCTACTCCTACTGCTACTACTATACTACTACTACTACTACTACTACTACTACTACTACTACTACTACTACTACTACTACTACTACTACTACTACTACTACTACTACTACTACTACTACTACTACTACTACTACTACTACTACTACTACTACTACTACTACTACTACTACTACTACTACTACTACTACTACTACTACTACTACTACTACTACTACTACTACTACTACTACTACTGCTACTGCTACTGCATTAACTGCTACTATTACTGGTACTGCTACTGCATTAACTGTTACTATTACTGCTACTAATACGTTTATCATAATTATTGCTGTTAAAGCTGCAAATGGAGAAGGGGGAAAGCATTATCGGTGCTGTTGGGCTGATGAGCAAAACCAAGAGTGAAGTCGATACCAAAGAAGTTGGACGCATCTGCGGTTGACAAATGACGGCAGAAACAC